TCCTCTTCGCGAGTTTTGCCAGTCGCGTGAAAGCTGGCGAGGAAAATTGCCAACTGAACCGCAATTTGCGATGGAAATTTGAATTGAGGAAAGAATGTTCATAAGAGCAATTAATTAGTTCAGAAGAGTAATTAACATAAAGGATGCATTGTAAATGGAATTGCTATAGATTGTACGTTCATCCTTTCAGGTATTAATTAGCACAGAATTCTGAGTAAATGAAATTTAAAGTGCTTTGAAATAATAGTAGGTTGCATATTACTGAAAGTGTAAAGTTCACTTTAAACTACTGTAACTTTAATGGTACATATTTTATTTACCTTGTTCAGGCATATCAGATTTGTCAGAAAAATAGTAATCTATCCATGGTAACCGTGAAACAAACTCCAGCGCAGAAACAAAATGCATGAAACAATATTTAATTCCAGACAAAAGAACACAGTCCACTTCGATCCTTAATTAACTTTAATTAAAGTAACGCGTTTACGTTCGAATCATTAACCCTTTCTGGTCAAAGTACTTTCACGACACACGTACACTGTGTGCAAAACACTTGTTCGCAACAGAACACGCATTGCAGTCGATACTTCTTTACTTTTGATGTGGACAGCGTTAATGGTATATTAAACTACTGTTGTATTCAAAAATGCAGGAAGCGAAAAATCATCACACATGTTCCTGGCGAAAATTAGTATTGGACGCGTGCAAGCTGTCGTGGAAATTACTGTCATAAACACAGTTTACTTTCAGACAATCTGATGTTAGGCGTTTCGTGATTGAACTGGGTAAAATTTCAATCTTCCTGTCTCGAACGATTTTCGATTTAACGTCGATTATTGATACGTTTGTTCATGATAAATACAATTTTATATACGTATTTGAAAGTAACGTTTCTTCGATACGAAGTATTGCCTTTAAACAGGGAGCGAAATGTTGATACTGAAATGGTGACGTATTTACTCATTTTAATTTGTCAAAATGTAAACATTAAATGCGTCGGAAATCATTGGAGAAAGGAAGCTAAAATTTGATACAGTTCAATCACGGGAGATGATTAAATATCAACAAATTCTGTGAATTTTAAAAAAATCGATGGCTGTGACCGAAATTCTCGTGCGTTTTCACGTGAAATAGCTCATCCCTGCTCCACGGTAATAATAAATTTGCCGGAGAAATGTAATTTAACTCTTGAAATACTTATTCTTTATTTCACTATCACAACTACGTATGTGGAGAATTTTTGAAGTTCTAGCGTCCAAATAGATGGTATGTACCTAGTTCTATTGAAAAAAACCCTAATTTTTTATAACATTAGAAACGCTGTTAGAAAAACCTTGACAAATAACATTAAATTAATGTTTACAACACAGTGATTCAGAAAATAAAATGACCAAAGTACGTATGATTTAAGGGTTAAAATACGACCATAATGAGTGTCCTAATTCTTACGAACGCCAGTATGCATACAGGTTCATAAACCTGAAAGGGTTAAACGATCTTTTCTCCAAGAAAATTCACCCATCTTCGGCAAACTCCTCAGAAAAAAATCTCCCTATCAAAATGAACTCCGCTGATCAGACTGATAAACAAGACAAACTCATCTACACCTGTCATTTAACCCTTATGTCAATAACCGAGTACCCTTTTACACATTCTCACTTAAAATATTTGATCTTCCCGGTGAAAGATTTGAATAATTGTATCCAAAAGCTACTAAACTTGGACGATAATTGTGGTTATTGACACAAAGATAAACACGTTGACTACCACGTTGGTCACCTGTGACCGAAGATTGTTTCCATGGTGGTCATCGGTGACCGAAATGCCTCAAATATTTAGAATAATTAACACAAAATGAATATCGTCGACTAAAAGTTTCCAACATACCACAAAAAGGGAACTAACGAGGAAAAATAGGGAGGGAGTCGTTGGCGTAGTGCGTAGTGTCTCGACTTGCCACTCCGAAGGTCGCGGGTTCGATTCCCCGTTGGTATCGAAATTTTTCAAAAATGTTTTCCTCAGTTTCTACAATAATATCATGCCTAGAATAACGAAAACTTTCTTGTAACCCCCTTGAAAACAAAATCTATAAATGACTGACATGACAGTCAACGTGTTAAATAAATACGAAAAATCTCCACTCGATGAACCAATAAGGACACAGCGCTGCGCAAAGGGTGACAGAATAACGGCGAAATGTGAAAAAAAAACCTGCTCGTTACGAACAGTCCAGACGGTGGGCCACCGAGTCCAACGGTGTCCTCTCACTCAGCTCAGACGGCGGTGCACCCAACAGCCGCTCCCAGATGGCCGCTGAAACCGGGCGTTTTGGTGCACATCAATCGGAGCCATAGTCTACGATCAGGTCTGAGCGTACGCGCGAACGTAGCGCTGCGAAACGAGCTGATTAGCAGGAGAACAACCGAGGAGCCGACGATGGCTGATCGGTTCCTCGTCGAGACGACGATCGCGAAGGTCGCCGGCGGCAAGGTGTTCCGCAGACGGAAGGAGAACACGCAGAGGAGCTTGACCGTGTCCAGTCTGCATGACGAGGGTATGCTTGCCAGAGCAAATAAAATTAAGGCGATGTTTGGAGTACAGCTTAAAGAGCAGGCCACTCTGCCGGGCATTTCCAGAGAGAAGACAGGTGAGTCGGCGCGAGAAACGCGCCTCCTTCCGCGGAGAGACTGTCGCTTTAATGTTGGCACGCCCGGAATTTACACGACCGCCATATCCAGGAGGAAGTTTCTACTCGAGTCGCGACATCGTAATCAGCTGACTGTTGCTTCGTTGAGAATTTTGCGCTGAGAATTTTTTCGCGGTTCGATGGCGACGCGAATTGATATCGAAAGAAGGTTAATTCGACTAGGAAAAACGTTTTATCACTGAGATTGGTTTTTGGGATTTACGAAATGGTGCTTCAACGAAGAGATACGATGTTTGAACTTAATTTGGTAGATTTTTCTGAGATAGAGAACTGACGATAATGGAACAGAGGATATTGAAGATTGTGTTAAATAAAATCGGTGAATACAAACCATTTAAGTTTCAGTATTATAGAAATGTACTACATATTCTTTGGGACACTCTGAGTATTTTTGTTATAACTTTTGAAGAAAGTATGTATTCAATTTTTTCTGGTATTCATAGAACATACTGTTAAAGTTTGATTCGAAAAACCTGGGACACTCTGTGTACACATATTACATTAATTAATATTGCAAGTACACACGTGCTTCACTAATTACGAAAATTTCTTCACCAGTCATATAATCTCATTGAATTTCATTCGAGGATCGGATCTCTCTTTTAACGCAGATTTGAATTTAAACATACATGAAAAATTAATTCGAGTGCAAAGCAAGGGGCCAAAATTATATTCCTCTTTTTTCTTCTTTTCCTTTGGTTTTTAGGAAATAAATATCAAACGTCGTGAAATTTATGGCTTTGAAATGGTTCAAATGAAAAATCGACATCCTCTTCGCGAAAGTACCTTTGTGTATCTGTAATTTTTCAATCGTGGGACGTTGAACGCGTTAAAAGGTGCCGCGTTGCGGAATTAAATCGCAACAAATTGCAATTTATCGCGCAAATTACCCGGGCGCGCTTAATTAAAAATACGGGCCAGCTGCAATTTCGCGGTGCTCGTTGAAGTGTACGGAATATTTGATAAGCGCGCGGCTGCGTTAAACAGATCCGATGTTCGTTCGAACGAAAAATCGCATAATGTTTGCGCGCCGGTTTGCCAACATTAAAAACTGTACAGTTGATCTGTCGCTGATAAATTCCCATTGAATCGACCCGCAAACGCTTCTTGTTAGACGTTCCACCGTGGAAAAATTCGAGCAGCCAGTCACGTTTGCGCGACACTCAAACGAATTATGCGTAACTGAATGTTTCATTAATTCGAGAAATTTATCGTCTCGAAGGAAACTCCTCGAATTTTTCCATCGTTGAACAAATATATTTTCCTTTCTCGTTTTAACCAACAATACCAATCGTTGTAAAATTAAAAAAAAAAAATAGTGTATTCTTGAAGAATTTGCAGATTAAGCCGGAAATAATTTAATACGATGAATGTAAATAGACGTGAAAGTTCGTGCAAAAGTATATCTCAATCAGAATCTTTCGTAAGGGATAAAATTATCAGAAAATGTGGACACGTTTGAGGGAAAACACGCAATAGAGAGTACCTGAGAGAAGTATAGAAAAGTTTAGAAAGCAACGTAAGTTTTTAATACAATTTGATTGCTGGCACATTTGACTTGTGTGACCTATTCTTGGAAGTGTGCTCGTCAGCCGTATAATTTTTCTGCAGTTTCAGCCCAGGCGGCATTAAAAACGAGCCGCGTATAACGTAGTTCTGAATTAAAGCGTCGCGGAGAAGGAGGTAATAACCTGTACTACCTGTAATTAGTGTGTTTAATGTCGCTTTTATCAGTGTGTTTATCAAGTGCAGATGTTACGGGTGGAAAACGTGTATGTGTGCCACTCGAAAAAATTAAAAATTTCCGTTGCTGCTCTGTGTTCCTTTAATTAAACCAATGTGAACGTGCAAAAATCACGTTTTAATTAAAACAATAACACCGTTTTATTTTCGACGTTTCTTTCGAATGCGTAATGCAAATGGAATTAACTTTTTCTCTAATAGGGCCCATTTTTTCTTTTGTTTTTTTTTTTTTGTCGTTGGTCACTGTGATACGAGTAATCATTTTGCATGGCTCTCCTTCGTTCGAATTGATAACTAACGGCAAACATAACGCAAACTAATTTTCCACGTGCAGATAATTTTGCGAACCGAGAAATTCTGTTATCGTAATTCTACTGATCCGTGAAGAATTACGTTTGCAACACTCTAGAAGAGAAAATTGTGTAATTTGTAATTTCAGAAATGCAGTTTGCACGAAATGTCAAATTTTAGGTGTTTCTTAGTCGACTGAAAAATTCTTCACGGTGAAATTTGAAAGAAAAAAGTAGAGAAATTGTTCAGGAAATAATATAGCTTTTTTTTTTTTAGAAAACAGTTGCACTTGCCAGAGTGCTGCATGATAATAAAAATGCTTTACCCATTTGTGCCGTTGCTTGTTCTTCCCTTTTTTTTTTTTTGTTTTGTCTGTCTCCTTAGCTGTGACATACAAAAGAATAGCGCCACGGCAGCGGATATTGCATGCAGAATCATCGTGCGAATTGAACCGAGGCAACGTATCCCGTAAGCGAAAAAAACCAGGCGCAGGTATGTACCAAGAAGTCGCAGAACGTGCATGATTTGAGCTCCAACGACGATCTGAGATCGGTTTTCTTCCCCTTTACCGTCGATACGTTTCGACGAACAAATATCTTTTTTCGGCGTAACATGTTTGTACGTACAGAGAACGGCGGGAATGTGCGAAAATTCCAACAAAAATGCTTATATGTTAAAAGTGTGTGGAAATATTGTTCAATCTTGGTGCTATCGTTATTATCGCGAAATAACGGAACGGGAATTGTGAATTTTTGGAAACTTGTCTAATTCTTGAATCTCTGAAAACTGTTAATGTTTAGTAATTTGGAGTATTGAAGAGCTTTTTCCAAATTTTTTCGGGTGATTCTGGAAAATAGCGTATAATTTAATTTTAATTTCTGAAAACTGTTAATTTTTATTAACTTTGAGTATTAAAGAACTTTTTCCAAATTTTTTCGGGTGATTCTGGAAAATAGTGTATAATTCATGTAAGGCTTCAATGATTTCTAATTTTTATTCATTTAGAATGTTAAAGAGCTTGTCGTAAATTTGGATAATTACTACATAATTCATTTAAGTCTTCAATAATTTAATAATAACTCTAATCAAATATTCAGTTCCTTTCGCAACACTTTTGTAATACTTCAAAGCGTTCTACAATTTCGCAATATTACAACACAAAAGGGAAACGTTGAGAAAATGGATAAACCACAGAATGTTTTCTTTTCACGTGGAACATATTGTTGCGTGCATCGTGCCAATAATTTTTGACCGTGTAGCGGATATTGATTAAACGAGAGTTATAAATTCAACATAGACGGGAGCTATTCTGTAAAGAAAATACATTTTACAAATACGCTTATCGCGTAAGTATTATTAAGAATAAAATCCAACAATAAATGTATCAAAAGAACATTTCAAAGTATTCTGCGATTAAAAAAAAAAAACAAATAGCGCAGAACATCAACTTTGTTTCTCACGCTTCGTTAAGTTCAAACGGAAGCACGAAAAAGGAGAAATTTACACAATATTGTGCATTTTATATTTGAAAAAAAACGTACTTTCGTAGACGTTCAAATATTTGCAGAATACCCTCACATTTATTTAGAACTACCAAATACGTAACCATTTACCAGTTACTCGTCATACTTAGATATTTACATCGCATACCTGTTAAATTTCACTGTAAAATAGAACGTCACATCGCTAAAATTTGCAAAAAATAGAATGAAATGTTAAAAATTGAGAAATATAATTTTCACAATAATTCACCGAACACCTAAATTTCGCTGCAAAAAGAACGTCACATCGCAAAAATTTGCAAAAAATTAAATGAAATCTTAAATAATTTTCGCAATAATTAAACCTACGTTTAATTCGAGAATTAAATTCAATTGCCAACAGAATTTATTATGAAACAGCAATTGATAAATACAAAATAATTCCTCTTCGAAAACTTCACTTTATACTTGCACATTTATGGTTGAGACAAAATATTCTATAATTACATTTCTCGTATACAATGAAAAATCACATTTCAGCCAGAATATACCCTCTCTCTCTCTCTCTCCCCGCTTAAAAAGGTAACCGTAGTTCGTTCCAGATTCTGGAATAACCCTGCTCTTATAAACTGTTTAATTAAACGATTCATTTTGATAATGGAATCATTGTAACGGGGCGAACCCGGTACAAAGGATTTTCGCGGAAAAATATTGTTTCAATGCACTCTCCGGGTGTAACGAAGCAATGTGTATATTCGTTTGGGAATGATCGGTGCGTATTTTCGAAAAAATGCTGACGAAAAGTGCTTTAAGGTTAACGAACAATATGAAACTTTTCATCCAAGTGGCGGAATTAAATCGCGAAACGAAATATTTACACGGGGAATCGACACGATTCAATCTCATTGTTGGTTCGTTATAAATCCTGTACGTATAAACATTTGCGTACATCATGTATACACAGATACCGTATTTGCAATACATGACTACCAGATGATTGTTATTTGCGTAATTGAAGCTTTGCGCCGCCATAGCGGGAAAGCTTTCTCCCGGAAACGTTCTAATTTAATTATCGGAAAAGCAAGAAGAAGAAGGAGAAAAGGAGGAATCGCGACGCTCGTTAAGATATTCGTTAAGATAGTCAACTTGTAAACACACTATTGGGTTCACACACTTTTTCCTAAGAAATCAGACATTTTACAATGGAAAAGAAATTGCTTTTTTTTTTTTTAATTTAACTTGCAATTATAATATATTCTATAACAAAAGTACATGTCGAAATGTTTGATATATATTTACAAACGACCTATTCAAGTGAAATATTGAACGTTAAAATTTGCTTGCTGAAGAATTATATGTTTCAAGAACCAGAAAAATCCCATCCCAGAAATTAGTACTAAAAAACAAACAGTACAGAATGAATATTCGTCAACGTTGAAAATATGAATTTTCTCTAATTTTCTCGAAACCGTCTAACTACCGATACCAACGAATTTCGACAACTTTACCATGCGACAAGAGGAAGACAGCAATCAAGAGGGTCGAAATATTCCCAGTACCCGTTACAATGTCCTTAGCTCTAGACATAGCCACTCACTTATTCTAGCGTTTGCAATTACACCTGAATATTTATCAATTCAACTCTCTGTCTCTATCTTTGTCTCTGTCTTGTCTACTGGCTCTGTCTTTACCTTTGTGCACTCGAGAGTCCCTGTTCCACTCTGAAAACAGTCCGCTATAGTATCCTTCTTCGAGAAGGGACACACACACAGCCTCTCTCTCTCTCTATCTTTCTCTTTCTATGCTCTCTCTCTCTTTCTCTCCGTCTCTCTTTCCGTTCCACGTGTAGGTTCCGCGCGTGAATCTTCGACACGTCACGTGTCCCCGTTTAATTACGCAAAGTCATGTTTCGTTTGCGCTTACAGATCCCAATCAAGCTGCGAATAACAATCACGTGAACAGCGTGTCGGAGGGCCTTCCCGAGTCCGGAGCGAAGACGTTCTACGAGAATCTGCCGTTCCATGGGATCCAAGCGCCGCCTAACAAGGTCAGTACGAAAGTCGATCTATGCACGAGTACGTTCGTTCGTTCGTTTTTCAGCATGGCGATCTTTTTTCCGCCGGCTTGACATACATGTAAACGTTTCCATTTGGCCGCCTGCCGGTAACGGTGAGATGCAAATGTACGGGTTAAAGGTGTTCCACCGAGAAACTGCAGTTGTTATCAACATTTCGGTGTTTTTTTTTTAGACGTGTATGCCTATGTGGATGTTTCAAGGATTAACCCTTTAGCTACTGTGGGTCACTGTAGTGGACCTTCGATGAGGAACACTGTTGTTGCTCTCTGAGCGACGTTTTTCGAGGAAGAAATTGCTATAGTGGTGTTCGCTTGGTTTCTTGGGGGACGTGGAAATATCTTCGTTTGTTTCGATTCGCGTTAGTAGTATCAACCCTTTCACAGCGGCAGATTTTGCTACGTGGCAGACTACGGCCGCGAAATCTTTTCTTTCGGACTTATCGTTGCAATTCTTTTTTTAGTAAGTTATGGTGAATGTGCACGGGGGATGAAATTGAAGTGAAAATGCGGGGAAAAGGGCGCACAGTACAGTGCGGGCAAATTTTCAAAGGGTCTATAAGCGGGAAGAGCAATGAAAGGGTTAAGAGATGTCTCTAAGAGATAAAATACATAAATGCATGGTTGAAGGCATCGAAACACCAATCGCGGTACAATTTCATTATCAGTTCCTCTGTAGCTAAAGGGTTAAGGATAAATCTGGATCGCGATGAACTCAATTGGCTGCTCAAGATTCTTTCTTACTCCACGGAAGGCAAGAGAATTTGTCATTTGCAATGGTGGCACGAATTGGGGAAATCGCAGACCCTGTACCGTTCGTCCGCAAAAAGAAGACTCATTCTACTAGCTCCCCTAACACACTTTGCCTAACCTTCTTCTCGTCGACGAACAGTACAGTCCTTCTAAAACCCAGAGCATCCCCACTACCTTGCGAACTGGGTTGAGAAAAGTGAGCAGAATTGCAAATATTGTCGATTGCTTCTTGAATTTTTAATTTGACAAATTCTTTTGGAATTTAAAAAATTTTTTCTTGCTTGAAAAATTCTCTGAGCTTTTCAACAGTTCCTTAAAAATCACTGATCTTAAAAGGGTTAATGAACTTATTAGTAGGAATTATATTTTTCCCAGTTTCTTGAATTTAACAAATTCTTCGTGGAATTTTAGAGAGATTTCGGTGTTCTCGTTTCAAACATTTCCCGAGCTTTCTAACAGTTCCTTAAAAATCACTGATCCTAAAAGGGTTAATAAGCAGGGCCGCTTTTCCTTCGAACGTGTCAATTTTTTGTAAATGATTTTGTGGTGCTACTTTGAACACGTATTTTAATGAGATAGAGTAAATGTTTCAGAATTTTGAAACGAAATATTTAAACAACATTGTCACTTTCGTTTCTCTCGAGCAGCCGATTGATGCGTTCCGCAAAACAGCCGTCCGTAATTGACAATGAAACAAAACGAGAAAAGGGATTCTTTTAGCGCAACTATCACATCGTATAATGCAGCTTCTCCATTTTCATGCATTTCGTTCAGCGATACGATATACTTTTTTCCCTAGAAAAAACGTTACGTGTTATTACGCTGTCGTTTAATAACGCCCGCGATATCGCGTTACGTTATTCAATGTCGATATTCACCGGGGAATCGAGGTTGAGAACAGTGGATAAAAAGGAACGTAGTCGGTGTAACGATAATCGCGACAGCCATATGGCGTGGTTGATAAAAACGACCTTAAGATGATCAAGAAGGGATCGAAGAAAAAATAAAGTTGGGGTAAATTATGTCGATTGCGTGAAAATTCACTGGAACAAAAATTTGAAGAAACTCCTATCGAAAATATATACAAATTCGCGTTAAAAATGCTGCTGGTGAATCTGTCGATTCTGCTTTAAGACAGTACAAAGTACACAGTGCTATTATTTTTCTATCGAACAACTAAAAAATTATCAATTGTTGCAGCGACAATTCTAGATATTTAAAAACGACCTTGATTTATTATACTACAATATAACAGTATAATAAAGAAACACAAAGTTTCACGGTTCAGACAATTTCACATATGGGCCACTCATAAACCAAAGTGAGAAACTCCGTAAAATAAAACGAATTAAATTTATTTCATTCGTGAAAAAATTGAGCGCCAAGCATGTGCTTCCATACTAAAATTGGAAGAACATCTAAAATTGAAGTTGACGCTTTGGCTGCGGCAAATTTTAGTACACAACGCGCGTGAAAAATTCAAATATTCCACAACGACCACAGACTTTCTTTTCCAGCCGTACCATTTCAAAATTCGTTTCACTGAATTACCGCGAAAGAGTGCACAGTATCAAATTAACGCTCGAATTAACACAGCGGTGCCGCAAAAGGCTGCAACGGCACAGTACGAACAAATGTTCGAAGCGCCAATAGCAACGAAAAGGATGATCATTTTTATCGTCGTTCAGATCAATCAACACACTTTCATTCCTCCACTCCAACCGCCGGCAATTATCTGAACCAGCATCGGCCGGGCGTTTCCGAAATTAGTATTCGGTATCCCTAACTAAAACGAACTACAACCAGCCGCGAAACGATTAAAAGTAGTTGACCACGAGCTCTAGCGCGTGCCTCGTTTCGCGAAGCGTTTCGAACCTGGGGAAACAACGCGGAACAATGCGTCGACGAACGTTAAACCGTCATTATTTAATTGAAAGCAAAACGTTCCACGGTAGTTGAGCGTTAACCTCGAGGTGCAGCTCTCTCTTCTCTCCTTGCCGCCTGAAATAGGACGAGAAGGGTGAGAGAAAGGAGGGATGAGAGTAGAAGAGAGGGAGAGTTCACCTTTCGCGTTTCCCTTAATTAACGCCACGGCTGGATCATTGAGAACGTCACAGCGAAAGGGGAAAAGAACAGAACCGGAGGCGTGGAGTGGCGGGAATGATAAAGCTGACGAAATTCGACAAGACGCCGAGAGTTTTAATAACAGGACAAACGTTTTTACTCGCGCGACCAGCGAAAGCTCCCAGCGGGGAACGGCCAGTTCGTAGGTGGAACGAGGGTAATTTGATAAAAGAGGGTCGAAAATATCAGGAACAGCCGGATACTCGAGGTCCTCAACCGCGAAACACGCCACCGGAAAGTCAGCGTGAAATAATCGCATTATAACAGGCTCGAGTACTCGAGTGCCTGGCAGTCTGGGGACTCCGCTCTTTTCGAACAAGAACGCGAAGAACGAACGCCAGAAACAGCGAGCGTACAAGGAAACGGCGTGTATGGCACTTTGTGCCCGGTGGAAAGCCTTCAAGCACCGAAGAGTGTGGAGCTTTCGAAAATGTTCCTAGTTGCCGATGTTCACCTTCTGCTCTCTCTCTCTCTTTCTCTCGTTCCAACTATCAGGTACCCTTGCCTCTGAACTGCGCGTGAGATTAGAGACGATCGAGAGTCTGCTTTACAGACGAACGAGGATACGAATGTACGGAAGAAACGGTTCGAACGGGGAATCGATCCGAACGGTTTGCGGCTGATACACGGGAACGTGAAAGAGAAATTTCGTTCTGAAACAATGAATTTCTTGCTTTGGCAACATCAAACGGGGTGCACAATTTATCGTGCGTTTTCGATTAAGGAGGTAGTAGGGGAAAGAGGGAATAATCGAGTTTATCAGAGAGAATTTTAGATTAGGGAGTCGACACACTTTCGTTGTGAAATATAAATAGCTACTTTGTCAGAAGGAATTTTAAATCGTTTCTGTTTCTACGATGAAGAGCAGATTTCGGGATTTGTGGGATTCGGTAATTGATTAGGGAGTCGACACGCTTTAGCTGTAAAATATAAATATAACT